TGGGGCAGCCTCTTCCCAGGAGGTGAGGCAGAGGGCAGGGCCGGGGGGCACGGGGGGAGGGCCAGGCATCCCCCCCTCCTCCTTCCTCTGTCCCACCACTGCTTCAATCTGGGAATCAGTGGGACCTGCGGGCACCCCAAACCCCCCCAGGCCTGGCCAGTTAGATTCCCAGGTGAGGCTTCTCCCTCCACCCTGCTTGCTGCCACACCCTCTCTCATCGCTCACGAGTCCCCCTTCGTCCCCCAGTGTCACTTCCAGAGTGGCGACCTCTTCAGGGAGTAAGAGTGCCGGTGTTGGATGCGGGCACTTGTGACCACCTCTACCATGTAGGCACCAACGTGCCCCGTGCTGAGCAGATAGTGTTACCAGGGAACCTGTGCGCTGGCTACGTCCAGGGCCACAAGGATGCCTGCCAGGTGCGTGAAGCTGCCTGGAACCTCTGAGTCCATGCTCCTGTGCCCAGCAGCCTACCTCCCTTGAACCCAGGACCAAGGAGGTACCGCCTCCAGGTTTGGCATCCTGGCTCCCAACCCAGATGTCCCGCCTGGGGGACTGGAGCCCTAGGACTACGATCATAGCCTTCAGAGGACGGGGACTTAAGCTTGCCTTTCTCCTACAGGGTGATTCTGGGGGACCCCTGACCTGCTTGAAGTCTGGGCGCTGGGTCCTGGCGGGCGTGGTGAGCTGGGGCAAGGGCTGTGCTCTGCCCTACCGTCCAGGTGTCTACACCAATGTCGCCATGTACAGCCGTTGGATTCAGGCTTGTCTCGACCGCTGATGTGGTGACTCTGACTTGGGTTGCTCAGCTACTTGGTCCCTCTGGGGACCTGCACATCCCCCAACCCTTCCACTTCTCACTTGAGGCTCAGAGGCCTGATAAAGCTACGGAGCCATCTCTCCATCCAGCTGTCCATCCCCTGCCTTCCTCGGGGCTCACCAAACCTGAGCTGCCAGCCCCGCTCCAGGGCCTCCCATCTGTGGGGGTCTCACACTCCTGCCTCCCCTTCCTGCTCATTTATCCTCCGCAGCTCCAGCCAGGACTGGGCCTGGGCACCCAGAGGTGGTAAGTGGCATTCCCGGTTTGGCCTGTGTGCCCCTCTCTCTAGGGGAAGTCAGGGAGATTCGAAGTGTAGAGGGATTCAGCACCAAGTAGATGGTTCTCCATCGCCAGCTTTGAAGATGGTGTTGGGGTCGCATTCAAGGAACCTGCAGCCGCCTCCAGGAGCTGAGGGCAGCCTTGGCTGACAGGCTTCGGGGAAAGGGAAATCTCGGCACCGTGACCGACAGGAACTGAATCTGGACACCTGACCAAGCCGGGAGGCGAATTCTTCCCCAGCCTCCAATGAGAGTCCACTCGGCCAGCCCCTTGATTTTGGCCTGGTGAGACCCTGGGCAGAGAACCCAGCTGAGCCCAACCAGATTTCTGGCCCACAGAGCTGTGTTTTAGTAAATTTGTGTTGTTTAAAGCTGCTATGTTTGTGATCTCGGCACTGTGACCGACAGGAACTGAATCTGGACCCCTGACCAAGCCGGGAGGCGTATTCTTCCCCAGCCTCCAATGCGAGTCCACTCGGCCAGCCCCACAGAGCTGTGATTTAGTAAATTTGTGTTGTTTAAAGCTGCTATGTTTGTAGTCACTGGTTACACAACAATAGGAAATGAATCTAGATTTTGCCCCACCGCAATGAAGATACCTGGGGGCAGGGTAGGCCTCCACCAGGCTCAGGAATCTGGACCACCTGGCATCATGCCCTCTGCCCAAAAGGGGCCAGGAGCCCCCAGGCAGGCCTGGCTGGAGTTTCTGCTGTTGTTTCTGTCATTACCCCACCCATGCCCTGCGGGAGTCTGGGGCTGGGTCCTAGCCTTGCACAGAACCCCCACACCCAGGACCCCCAACACCTGAATCTGGAGACTGGCTTAGACCCTTTACAGCTCCCTGCCCGCCTTCATGTGCCTGGGACCGGCCATCTCCTCATCCCCAGCCCAAGGACACCCATTCTGTAGATAGAGCTCAGTTTCTAGAGCTGCGGGAAGAACAAGAAACTGAACAAAACCTGGAAAATCCAAAGCCTAATCTTTGGAGTTGACGGCAGCAGTCGGTAAAGAGGTAACGGGAAGGCCATCATCAAAGGTGCAGCCTGGTGGGGGAGGCCCAAGTGCAGCTGCCCCCACAGACGCCTAAGCCTTGTCTTCCTCCCTTCTCTTCTCCCAGGAGAGGAAGTGGATACACCAGGTGGTCTCGGCTGGGTTGCTGTAGGCCAGGCCAGGCAGTGTGAGTCTACGGACCGGGGCAGCAGGGAACTCCAGGCTGCTCTTTCCCCCAGTCTGAGGGCCATCCATTTGGGGTAGAGCTTGGCTGTTTCTTGGGGGGTCATCAGGGACTATGGTGCCCAGAACAGGGTATGGCTGTGGCAGACCAGCCTGCAAAAGGCTGTGGTCACATTTGCAGTTGAACCAAAAGGACCCCTGTGGGGTGATGTTGGCCATTCTCCCAATTCTTTCTCAGTCTGAAGCCAGCCAAGGGATGCCTCCCAAAGCACTGAGATAGGAACAAGCCTGGGCTGGAGCCAGGGTTCCTCAGCCTTGGACCTGCTGTGATTTTAGTAGTGGGTTCCCATTCAGAGTCCAGTGTTTCTAAAGCGCAACCTGGGAGCGGGGTAGGGGCAGGAACTGGGCAGAGAAGGGAAGGGCCAGTGAATGAGAAGAAATGCTACTCCTGGTCAGGCTCTTACCAGGAGGCTGGGCCACTGTGCAGGGGGCTTTACTGGACTATCTCAGTGGGTTTTTCACTGAAGCTCCGTGAGGTAGGTTTGTTTTCTCATTTGTCAGATGAGAAAACTGAGGCCTGAAGTCATGCAGCTGGTAGATGGTAGACTGGGATTTGAACCCAGGTGGTCTGATTCCAGGGGGAGCTGGGAATGGTAGAGGGGGGATTACTCCCTTCGCTGTCTTCACTTCTTCCTATGCTGATATTATGGCCTCCCAGCCCTTCTTCTTGGCCTATTCCTGGTGTGGCAGCCTTGTGGGGCTGGGCAAGTTGCAGCACTTTTCAGCCTGCAGACTCACTGGCACAGCACCCTGTACTGCAGCATCCTGTCAGCAAGGTCAGTTGAGAGTGGGGGGAGGGGGAGCTGGCCGTGCAACTGCTCCTGGGCCCACCATGGCTGCACAGGGGATGCTAGTCTCTTGACCAAGGCAGGCTTTTTCTAGTTGCCCACCTACTCCTGTCTGTGGTGCTACAACCAGATGGCCTTGTCTCTCCCAATACCAACTCAACCTCATTTCCCCACCCATCATCTGAACTGGTAACAACTGCCTAATCAAGGCTGTTGGGAGACTCAAGTTGACAGCTACGGCAATCATGGTGTTGCCCACGGAGCACGTTTGCTGTACCAGGCATGGGTGGGCTCTCCTGGGTGCTTTCATTTCCCACTCCATGGGTGAGAAACAGGCCTTGAGAGGGTAAGTGATATGCCCTAAGGTGCACAGCAGGTAAGAGATGGAGCCAGAATTGAATTTGGGCAACTGACTCAAATTCCATGTCACTTCCCTTTGGAGATTAGTTAGTTGTAAAACACTACAAATGAGAGGCACACTAATAACTAGTGGTCATTTATAATTACTATTTATTAATCAATGTTAAAAAAATAGACAGGAGGGGAAGGCCCACCAAGGCCAAGACTCTGCAGGCTTACTTTGGAGGGTACCTGTCACGAGCGTTGGGTAGTTGAGGCAAGGGGGCAGAAAGGTCCAGGCCTTTCTGGGCAGAGAAGCCAGAGCAGCTGGCTAGCCAAGTGACCTTAAGATTTCCATTCTGTCATGGCCTCTAGGAGGGAGGACATACAAACACCTAGCGAGATCACAGAGCACCGGGGTTGGGGGTGGTCAGCCCCTGTTCTCCCCTCAAATTGCACCCCCACCCCATTCCTATGGGTACAAAGTATCATTGCACTGAACGACAGGATGCCCGCAGTCACCTCCTGCAACCACCGACCAAGTGGGCAGAGGCCCCCCCCCCCCACCCCCCGAAGGGAAGGACTCACTACCTCTCCCAGGCCAGGGGACCTGAGACAGTTTCAATCAGACACATCATTACCCGAACCCTGGCATTGTGCTCTGTGCATTAGTTCATTAATACTCCCAAATATCCTAAGGCGTCCCATCGTATATTCTCTTCAAGGATGGAAAACCAGGTGCAGGCTCAGTGCCTTGCCCAAGATCACAGTTAGTAGGCTGGGGCTCGGACTCGGTCTGCTGGAGGAGGCTGGGGACAGGCACGATTCTCAGGGGGATGGGGTGGGGGCTAAGAGCGCTGCCCCACCCCCCTAGACCTCCAGGGTGACTCCTGGTGAACGTCAGCTGGGACACCAGCTGGGCGGACAGGTCAGCTGGGACACCAGCTGGGCGGACAGGTCAGCTGGTCTACAGGACGGTCTGCAGGACAGCCCAGCTCCAGACAGATGTGCTCAGGCTGCAGGTGGCCTGGACTCTCCTGTCCCCGCACCCCGGACCCCGTCTGCACCCGCCTCACTCTGGGAGGTCTGCTGGCTGCCTTCTTAGCCCTCCCCTCCACAGCAGCACAGGACCTTCAAAGCCTCCAACGCTCTGCTCACAAAGATGTTGATGTGAAGGAAACTTTCAGGCTGGCCAAGGACCTGCCCCACCACGTCCTGACAGGGGATGAAGCCCAAGGGGAGGTCAGCCTGGGCCTGGCGGGCTAGCGGGGAGCCGCTGCTGCCTTGGGGCCCAGGGACGGGAGAGTCAGAGGAGGAGAAGGGACTTCAGAGGGCTCCCGAGGAGCCGGGAGAAGTAAAAAATACCTCCAGTTCGAGTTCAGGAGACATCTAGTTAGTGCTAACTCTTGGAGAGGCTCTACAAAGTCCCAACGGTTACTTTCCCATCTTGAAGAGGAGGAAAGTGGGCCTTGATGAGTGAGGTTTGCTGCCCAAAGCTGCACCGTCAGCGCTGGAACCAGGACTTGAATATCCGTTGATTTGAGCCCAGAGCCTGTGCAGCGAGCCACCAGCTTGATTCAGGGCCACGGCGGCAGCTTCCACGCACTCACATTGCAGCCCAACACCTGCAGAGCTTTTGCCCCCCGGCGCCATTCACTGGCTCCTCTGGGACACACACCGGTGCTGACCTCTGGGAGTGGTTTCAGTAGAAGAAAAGCCTCCATCCCTTGCTCTAGTGCAGTGGTTCTCAACCTTCCTAATGCCGCGACCCTTTAATACAGTTCCTCATGTTGTGGTGACCCCCAACCATAAAATTATTTTCGTTGCTGCTTCATAACGTAATGTTGCTACTGTTATGAATCGTAATGTAAATATCTGATATGCAGGATGGTCTTAGGCGACCCCTGTGAAAGGGTCGCCTGACCCCCAAAGGGGTCGCGACCCACAGGTTGAGAACCGCTGCTCTAGTGTGATTGCAATTGGGAGTGACGCAGGGCAGGTCCAACGCGGAGGAAGGACGGGCTCGGCTGTGGGTCAGGCTGCCCCCGTGGACAGGCAGCCAGGGAAGCAAGGCTACAGGCCCTACCGAGGCCAAGGGGACCTGGGCAGGAGGCCGGCGGGCGCCCAACCCGGGCCCCGCAGCAGCTTCCTAGGGCCATTACAGGCCATAACGCCCTGAGCCGGATGAAGCGGACTCACACCTGAGGCGGGGCAGGGAAGTGCGGGCAGTCCTCCTATAATATATGGACCTATATGGTGGCTCGAAGGCCAGCATTGAAAAGCTCCTCCAATGGCCGCCGAGAGCCCTTGGAATCATGCGTCAGGCCCCCCCCACGCGGCAGCCCGGGTCTCACTGAGATGCTCATGCTGCCTCCCCAGCGACCCAGAAGCGTATCATCCATTCACTCTTCCTGGGTGCGGGAGTAGCCACGCTCGTTAGCTCGGCTCCCATAGCAACGAGAGAAGGCTGGCCCTGCATCCGGGCCTCCCGCTGACTGATCCAGACGGGACCTCGCTTTGCCACTCCCAAGATGGCGCCGTCCCAGCGACGTCCCTCCCGCCTACGACCCCTGCCGACTCCCACCACCTCCGCCAA